CCATCTCGGTCCGATCTCTCGTATCTGTCGTCCCTATATCCATCTCGTCGGCCCTGATCTGTCTCCCATCGGCCGCGGGAGTCGCCTCTACCCCGATCGGCCTCATAGAGAGGGCTTCGCGGGTAATCATCCAGCCTCCTTGCTCGCGCAAATGGCTCGCGATCTCTGCGGTCTCGGTCTATCTCATCATCCCTACGTCACCATGGCTCATCGTCTCTCTCTCTTCCCCTCGTACGATAATCAGTCAGCGTCGAGGATTTCTATCATCGACACTCCTCCAGGAATCGTTGTTCCTACGATCCCAGCGAAGTGAATAGGGCCCTCCAGGTTTGTCCCGGTAGGCCGTGGCCCCTGTAGTGGTGACAATCTCTGTAACCTGTCTCGTCAATCCCTTCACCATGTCCCGTATCTCCTTCACTTCCTCAGCCACGACCTCATTCTTCTCCGACCAGGGATAGTCCTTGAAATCAGGACATCTATCAGTGGCATACTCCTTGTAGAGAGAGAAGTCACGTCTCCTCATCCCTCTCCACACCAAGTCTTTGTAATTGTCTGCCTCTGCCTTTATCGCGAGCTTTAGGACTTCTAGGAAATCAAGCCTGTCGCGCGGAAGATCTGTAAGTATACTCTTTTGCCTACCTTTGGACAAGTGTCCGATGAAGATAGTACAGCGCTCGACCTCTGAGATCTTCCCCTTCTTCATCAGCACGTCGGAGATCTTCTGGAAACGCATCCCAAATGCCCGTACGCTCTCATCTTCATCTTGAGTCATTGTTTCAAGGTCATTGATGGAATACTTGTTATCCTCCAATTTGTAAAGCTCAACGAGGTTCTTCTTGTACGTAGTTCATTTCCCATCCTTCGGTCGAGTTTCCTTAACTTCCCTACCGAGACTTGGGTCCACATTAAATAGGAAGTTCTCTATAATCTCTTCCTCCGACCACTGACTCCGGCTGGCGTGAAGCTCCCACTTCTCCAGATATTCTGTGATACCATAGCCCCTAAAGGTAGGAGGCTCTGAGGCCTTGTGCGTAATAATATAGCGATCCTTGCTCTCGTAAGGGAGCGGATATGACTCCCCTGTCTGGGGGTCGAAAACTCGCCTGGGCGGCGTCCTGTCTCTATCTATGTCCCTCCAATAGGAATCCCTCAAACTCTCTCTCCAGTCGTCTCTGTGTCTGTCCGCTATGGTGTCCCTCCGCTCGTACTCGGGGGAGTGCCGCCTCGTCGCTTCTCGTCGTCCGCTCGAGGTACCCGTCTTTAGAGCCTCCCGCGGCTCTGTCGCAACTGGTTCGCCCCTTACGTCGGGCCCTCCGTCATTGGTTTGGTCAACCCATCTCAGCGGTGCTTCTCGCCTAATTCGTTCTTTCATATCCCTCAGAGCTCGATCGGGCGATGTCCTGTACTCCTCTCCCGCTTCGCCCATGGTCGGTTGTAGCCCCATCGTGTCGGGTTCGATTGGACCGCCAGAAAACGCAGTTAGGTATTCTTGCCAACTGTTACAGCCCGACCCTATGACAGTCGCTGCAGCCCGGACCTGTGACAGTTGCGGCAGCCCGGACCTGTTTCCTTGTCACGGCTCGCATCCGCCTCCAATCTTAGCTCTCGACTGCCTTGATTACCACTTCCAGTATCCCGTACCGGTCGCAGATCTCGTGCTCTCCCTCTATCCCAAGAATCCCTTTGTCTAAGTAAACCTCTCCTTTGGATTCGGCCAACAAGGTCGTGCTTCTCCGGATCTGCAGTACACCCGTGACAGGACCTCTATCCTTAAGACAGATCGCAGTCCCAAACCTAGCCAATGTCTCCTGATCAACACCCCTCAAGAGTCTCCGAGCGTCTTTCTCCGTCCTCCTTGTTAGTTCTCCTAGCCCTGTCCTGAATCGGTTAGCCCGCTAAAGGCCTTCCTACTGCCATCCAAAGTCGTCCTCTACTACGAACGTCGGAACTATTGCCCGCAGGCTCCTAACGCTGTACGGGAAAAACCCGTCCCGTGCTACCACCAGCTCGCCCGTGATATCAAGAGGAGGGCGTCCGTGAAATAGGGTCAACGGGTCGCTCGAGTCCTCCGCTTGGAAGGCAGCTACCTCTTCCCCTAGGTAGCGTAACGCCCTGCTAACTGTGCCACTAGTCCCTGTCGTCGCGAGGCCCACCACGGCCTCCCTGACCGCACCCGGTCCC